TTTCCCAAATTTAATTGATTAAGTCAAACAATATTATCATGGCAGGTTATATTCCATTCTCACCTACACCAATGTGACATTAAAACGAGTGGCATGCAGTGGTATACCAAAAATTATTGTCTCACTAATTTTATTTTACCTTCCATCTTCTGTATTTGAGCAGGGAGAATGATATATAGTCAGGAAGATTAAATACATTTAGGTTATTTCCTCGTATGCTAAGGTTGCCTACTGTTCTGTTGCAGGAATTTTATGATTTGGTGTCTGAACTGTTTAAAATCACAATAACGTAATATTTTTTCTTGATACTCTAGGCAACTATACTGATTATTGGTTTTTATTGGATGCCTTTTCCTTTAGTTAATATAATAATTTTGTAATAATATTTGGCCAAAGAACCACAGAATGCCAGTGGAAATTCAAACAGAATGCAATAGTTTGATAAACGTAATAAATATAGGTCAGTGTGCATTTGTAAAATGATGAAGTTCTATGCAGAATTATTAAAATCTGTATATTACTGAAATCATCACTTGAAGACCTTTCCAAAAGTGCCAGGAACAATATTATATGTGTATTTTTAACCTTTATACAGACAGCAGGAGCACTGTCAACTGAATTTGCATCTCATAGCAGGAACCAACACCATTGCCTACTGCATAATGAAGAATCAGAATAACAATAAGTTACCTTGTCAGATGAAATTTTTTTATTTTCAAACTATACAGAGGAAGTAATTTTATCATTAACAATTCAGTAGGTACTTAACAGATTTGTTACACAAGATCATTTTTAATTGTGGGTTTTGAGCATGTGTTGATAATCCTATGCCTATTTTCAAAAGCATGAAACATTCCCTATGACAAGGACAACACACTTTGTGTAAGCCAGTATGTTCATGCTTTTGGTAAAAAAATTCATCCTGAACTTGCCATAGTAAACCATTGATATTCTTCTGATTTGTTTAATAATTTTCAGATCATGATAAGACATTACATTTGTTAAAATATCCACATAATTCTCCTACAAAGCAATAAAAATGTGTGTGGAAGAAAGTCTGATTGGACTAAATTTATATGGAAAGCCAGGTTTGTAGGAAGATACAATAGATGCTGTTAATATATTGAGATAGGCTTTAAGACAAATAAAAGATTACGTACTAAAATAATTACCCAATTTTTGAGCTTTTAATAAGCAGTACTTTTCCAGCTATGAACTATGCAACAGACAGATTGCTTACAAAAACAAAACAAGATTATCAAATACCCTACAACATGTTTTTCATTTACTGAACTCTTTTTCTCCTGCAAAATTTATTGAAGCTTTAAAAAAGCTGGTCAAACAATTTGCCTTCTCCCACTTCACACTGAACCAGGAAGGGTCCATCCTGATGCAAAATTGGTCCAGAATCACAGCTAGTATTCATAATGTCACAGAGATGATACCCATATATTCCAAGAAAAGATTACTCAGTGAACCCATCATATTTGCAAACAAAGAGAGGACTGGCAGGAAGTGTACTGACTTAATCGAAAAACCATTTAATTTCCACTGATTTCCTATTGACTTTAATAAAATTTGGATTTATTTTCTCTGGAAAGGTGTACATGTAGAAGAGCCCAAGCATGTGACTTCCCAGTGGACACATTTCCATGTAAGCCACACAGAAGGTTTAGTTTAGTTTTAAGTAAGCATTTGGAAGGTTAAGTTTATGTCATTAGTATCACTTATCCTTCTACACATTATTCTGTATGGCAGCATTGAAACCCCTGCACGGTGCATGACATGTTAGTATTATTCTGCTAATGTGTGAAATAGAATATTTGTATCTAACTGCTTTAGATTCTCTGCTTTTGTTGCTCCTTTTCAAATGCTTGAAAGTATGGTAAAAGAGATGAAAGTTTCAGGTTCAAATAGCTTGAAAATAAATCTATATTTATGCTAAAACATCTATGTTTCTGTCAAGCAATGTTTGGACTGCTACATACCACTTATTTTGTATTGCCTCTCAGGAGGGAATCATCCTGGGAGCTATTATCCCTATGTCAGAATTGCCTGCATGTTCTGTACAGCTGTACAGGGCAGTATAATGCCTGATAGAGATATTTTAGAACAACTGACAAAACGTGTCTGCTGCAAAAGTATGCTGAAAATTATTTGTAACTGCTTAAAAAATCTCAAACTTTTACATGGATTATGGTACAAATATTACTGAGGGTATGTGATAATCAGGAATGATCATCATGATAGCACTGTCTAAAAAGATCATGAATTACATGGAACTTCAACAAGTATTTTAGACTTCATTTAATTACAGCAAGTAATGATTATTAATAATTCATTCAAAGCAATCTGATAAATTCTGACTGACGACAATGGGAAACATTTTGCATCATTATTTCTGCAATACAAATCTATATCTTTGACATTATTTGTGGGTTTTTATCACCAGTTGTGTTCTAAATCAAAAAGCTTCCATATTCTCTGTTAGGAAGGAGTACCTCAGTATATAAGAACATGAATAGACTGTAGTAATATGTTGATTATTATTTCACCAGTTGTAGATAGGGGTACTAAAGCTGAATAGAAGGCTCTGTAATCAAAGAGGAATAGTATTAAATATGTAAACCACAGATCATACACTCTGATATTGAAGATAAAGAGGCATAAAATAAAAGAACAAAGTTGATACTATATGTATTGTCTATTTGTTCATTTGTTTGTGATTTATGGATATAGAACAAAGAGTTTCCTAGTAAAAAATGCTTATGTACCTACATGTAGTGACTCTGAAATCTGTACCTTGAGGACAAAGAAAGGTCGCCAATCTCTCCAACTCCTAGTTCTTTGTCAAAAATGGACACAGTTAATGAGGTTTGTTTGGTACAGCACAAATTCTCAGACACAGATAGAGATCCTTTCAATGGAAACAAATTTGTTTTGCTTTACCAGGTTACTTAGCGATTAATAATAGCCTTGAGATGCAGGTCAGAAAGGTCATCATCCCCGCTTGCCAACACAATCTAAAATGTGCAGCTACTCTGGCTCTGCAGGCTTTGAGGCCCCAGAACGCTATGCATAAAGTAAAACAAGCTATTTTCCAACTTCTTTTTTCATATTAATAAGCAATTTTCAAGAGAAGGGTGGCAAAATGGGGGCCATGCCACTCTAAGTAATTCATTTATTTTGCAATTTAATCTTATGTTGGAAAAAAATTACACTGCTGCAAAAGCATAGCATGGTGATTTTTAAACGTCAGTGTGCTTTATAAGTAACCTTGTATGAAATATTGTATTAGCAGCCTTTAACAGTAAACTGCAACAATATTTTCAGAGATTCAAAAATACCTGTGTACCTTTTCTGATCTGTATTTCCTTTAAATTCTATTTTTCTTTTACAGTTGAAATAAAATGTTTAATTATTTAATATTTTACTTATTTTAATTGATAAAATCTTGAAAGATAGCATGAAAAGAAATATAAGTTCTACACTGCAACTTGTATTTAAGAATGTGATTTCAAAGTCTTCATATTTATAAACCAATTATTGCTCTTTCATATATTTTGATGAACTAATTTAATGATAATTTAAATATTAAGAGTAAGGCTGAGTCACAATCTTAAAAAATCACTTTTGGGAGCAATATGACTTTTCCGTGGGCTTATTCATATCAGCAAACTTACCCATGTGCATATTTTGACATGATTTCACCCATGTCCTCACAGTGTCTTATTTGGTACTCATTGAAACAACTGAGACTATTAATGTAGACCTCTCTAAATAATCTGTTTTGCAGGAATATTTGAATTATGAATATTTAGTTATGTGAATAATATTTTTTCCTTTTGTAAAATTTTATTGCATATACACATACTAGAAAACATAAAGACTAGAATTTACTCACCTAATTAAATTTTTAGCAATCTAAATGCTTGACTGAATATGCTTGGTTTCTTTGGCACACAGGTTAATTTGAACTAGTCATTTTGTAATAACAAAATTAAGAAATGTTAATCAAATTAATCTTATTTAACTGGGTCAAAAAATTCTATGCACATGCACTGTGCACAATAGCATAGAATTTTGTTTCTTATAGAACATTAATTCACTCTACTGTTTGCATAATTTATGGCGAGCCTGGCTCTGTGGAAAAAAACACATCGATTTGGAAATCTATGCCCATTTTCTGTTCAAGTTTTCCGGTAAACATTCAGTTGAAATCATGAGTTTTCTCCATTCTTTGAAACCTGGTGTTAGATGTAGTTCCATATTTCTTTTATGATGAAAGGTTTTTCTGCACAGACTCACACGTTTAGATGGCTCTGTGTGTTGGCATACCTCTGTTGTGCAGTGCTTCATTAAGCAGTTCAGGTCCTGGTTCTTGAGGTGGTCTCTACAGCTCTCATCAAACCAGAGTAGAAATGGCCCGTGCGAGGACCCAATGCCATGGAAACTCCTCCCAAGGACAATGTATGCATGAAAGGTTCCCATCCTGTTTTCCTCTGTGCCTATTTTCTCAGCCTTACTCAAAGATCCAGAAGTGAATATCATCTCCTATCCCATGTCTGCTATCCTCTCTTATTCCATAAAATCTCCCCTGTCTGCAGATCAGGAGGTGTTGCAAGGCACTAGCTGAAACATAGGTGAACAACCTGTATTTTTATTATAATAGCTTCCACTTAGAGAAATTCAGAGTAAAATGACACTTAAAGGCAGATGAAAGGACTTACATGAATACTATTTTATCAAGCTGTAAGAAATGTTACCGATATACTGCTCCTAATTTTGATATTTTTAATCCTGTTTCTTCTTAGTTATATCCATGTAATATCCTACTGCTGTGGAACTGAAAGAACAGTAATTTTACATTCCTGTGGTGTCAGTATATTGCTAATGTATAAGAACAAAACACTGTGAAGCTATGAAAGGGTTAAAGTAAAATAAAAGACTAGCATGTCTTTTGTTGTTGTAATATAGTTAGCAGACTTATTTTATTACAGGCGTGAACTCCAAGAGCACGCAGAAATGAAGGAAAATGAAGAGAAAATGAAAGACCTGGAAAAGAAAGAAAAGGAAAAGAAATACCAAGCCCAAAAGATGCATTACCTCCTTAGCACTGAGCAGGTTGGTAGACTTGTCCCTGACAGCTCATGCAAACCACTTGGGCCCCAGACTGACAGAGATAAACTAGCAGGCTGAATGGGACATGACTTGTTGAAAAGATATCACAAAGACACTACTTCGAGTTCAATTTATTGCTTTTCTATAGGCAAGAGCAGGTACCATGACTATTCTGTGACAGTAGCTCATAGAGGCAGCATCAGCACTGCTGGCAGAAAGAGTCCAAGTCAGCAGTTTGATCTGCCACTGTGATAACACAACATGAAGGGCATAACCTCGCTTTAAAAACTCATTTTGACTGGCTTATTGTTGTGTTGTTGCACTTGTCAAGAACTAACAAGTTATTAAGCTGAGAAGGGATTTCATTTTTCCCCCCTTTTTAATTGAGCTAATGCTTAGGTTGGTGCAGTGTTCTGCTTGTTTTTAGGAGAGATTGTAAATGTGGGTTTTCAGTTAAAGCTTTTTTAAGAACTTCCTGAATCAGCTTATTTAGCACGATTGTTTTCACTCAAAAATGCCTAATACATCTTAAATATTTATTATTAATTAATTTTGTATCAGTATTACTGGTATATTATTCCAAACTTTCTTATGGCAGCTACTTTAAACAGACAGGTAAACATGCCAGTAGATATATCTTACATAAATTTGATATGATTGGTAAAGCTTGTGGGTTTGCCTTTTTTTTAGTCTCCTCTTGTAAACTTTCATAAAAAAATAAAAGGATTTTGTCTCCATAAGTGTTTGGTGGCTGACTGGTCTTTGTACAGAAGTGGAATTAATGTGAAATATTAGTATGAACTAAATGCTTGCGTTTTTGAAGTCGTTAATCACAATCTGTGTTTAAGAACTGCTAATCCTAAAGAATGCAGGAAAAAATACTATTACACTTAATGACAAAATATTTAATCTTCCCTTCTGTTTGGGAATTATTTGTGATATATCTTGTAGATAGAAATGTGGTTTGATTAACTGGAACTCTGTTATGAAAACTCGATGTGTAAATTATGTTTAAGTATTTTTTTTAAGCATAGTATAATATAAGTAAAAAATAGCATAAAAAGTTTTCTCAATGGCTATTAGACAAGGAAGCTAGTTAATGACTTGGATTAGCTCATTATAATATTTTTTTCCCATGTGGATCTAGGATATTAAGAATCATCTGCACAGTGTTTTACATTGTTTTAAACTATAGAAAATTGGGAATCCCTGTTTTGAACAGTGCAATTTATATAAACACATGCATTTAATATGCTTACCTGGAGGACAAAAGTTGTCAGGTTGGAGACATGGAGTGACTTGTGGTCTAGTAAGATTTTAGTAAGCTCAGTTCACCTCCAATGATACAGGCTTTGCAAGCTGTAACACTTAATGGCAAGTAGTTCCCCATTTCAGCTATGGAGAACTGCTTGTAGAGGGCAGCAGTAACTGTTGTGTTCTGATGAGTTTTGGTTATTAATTTTACAGAATTAGAATTTAGCTAGCAGTGTTTTTAGCTAGCAGAACAAGAAAAAATCTTGGTTTTACTTGCTCAGATGGTTTGTGACTACTGAGACTCTGAGCCCACAGAAGTTTTTCTTTATGAGAGAATTGAGCTCCAAGAGCTGTCTTTCTTTGCAGGTAGTATTTCAAAACATAAGTAAATGTAAATCAATGCAAAACCTACAGACAACTTGAAAACCATCGAAGATATAGTTGAAGTTTACTTACTGTGAGGTCTGTATTCCTCAAGTCCACATAGCTTCTACATTCTACATAGCTGTAGAATTTGGTATCTTGGTAAGATACAGGGCAAATGATTTTCATGCAGAATTTACTGGTTTGATGTTTTGTGCCTGACATTTCAGTCTCTAAATGTCTGGTCTTCTGACCTGACTACAGCTACATCTTGCTGTTTTCAAAGAACAGTTAACTGGATTACTGAGCAAGGACCATTCATGTCTCAGTAGAAACAGGCAGCAAAAGTCAACGCTTTTGAGTGAGTTTAGAAAACATATCATTTGTAAGGAGGATACATAGCAAATAAAAAGAGGACATTAATAAGCTGGATTTATTGTAGAGTCATGCATTACCTAAAGCCCAGTAAGTTACAGAGATAACCTGCCAAAGTTCGGTTCTCTTCCCCTTCCTGCCATACGCACTGAGATTCAGTGATGGAGCTGAACCACCTTGTGTATCAAGGCTGCAGGTGTTCAGGCAGGTTATATGGACAGCATTGAAAAATCTCTATTTGCAATAATTGTTTCAAATATGTCCTATGGTTTGGAATGTTTTTGTTTTAATACAGGGAAAATGGGTGAGAAAAGGGTGTTTACTTATTGACAGAAAATAATTAAGGAGTTGTTGCTCCTCAATTTTTATTAAGAAAGGCATGTCAATTTTCATTCTTCTCTCCCAAGCTGAAGCCCACAACATCTCAGAAACATCTCAGAAGTGTGTTTATATTTATATGTATCTATATCTCTATCTATGTCTATATCTTTATCTATAAACTGGGTGTGCCCATTCCTAATTGCTAACATTGTTTTACTTTCAAGAGGTAAAGCTGAAGAATGTGTCAGGAATGTACAGGAAGGTCTGGTATGGATGTAATAGCATGGCCTATAATTAATTTAGTGTTTAGTCCTTTTCATGAATTAACTTGTATTTCAAGCATTTATTTCTTTCCTAAACTGTTACTTTATAAAGAAAAAACACTGTCTGGTTGCTTAGTGCAAGAGACTCCTATGTAAAGTACAGCAAGGAATAATTCTATGTGCTGGCAACTTTGTGACTTCCAAACCAAATTCAGTTTTAAAAATAGGATTCTCTGTATTTCAGGTTTTAAAATTTTTATAAAACACAATCTTTGTCTTAAGTGGTTTTTTACCTTATTGGGCTGATAAATTTTGACTTTATGATGAACATAATAAAAATTATATATTTAACAAGTATTTCTCTTAGTTAAGAATATTTCTTATAATTTCCTGTTGGTAGCAAAATTTGTTTTCATCATTTTTACCTGTTTTATCATGAACTGAATTGTGATTTCTTATTGAGACATGAAACTCAAAAAAATTTTTTCTTATGAGTCCAGAATCACAGTATCCTATTTCCACTACAGTGGTAATGACCTTTTTTTCTCTCCCCCCCAAATTATCATTAATAAATAAACTACTTATTAAATGTGGTTTTCCATTATAAACATGTTTACCTATGCAGATTATGATTCTATATCCCTGTAGTTCCTTTTTCTGTATTAACATCCTTCACTATAATTGAACAGGTTCTTACTTCTGTGCTTTGTCTTATTTTCAAGGCCAACATTAGTAGTGAGGGCCATCCCCTGCCAAGTGCTGACAAATGACCTTTAAAGTCAACGGTGGAGAAAAGCACTGAATATATTCATGGTGCTTAGCAGAAATGGGGATGAAGAGCCCACTTGTGTTGAAATATGTGGTTGCATGATTCCTGTCATTGGTATTTGCAGCCTTTCAAGAAATTTTGTAGTTGGTTTTTGTCTTACAATGGTGATGAGAGTTAGGAGTATGACAGTCTAAATCTGGAGATCCAGTATCAAGCTAGAATGCAGACCTGTGTTGTTTTCAGTATCTGCTGACAGAGCAAGCAGCAATGCTGAAGTGATTCTGTGAATGGGAGCAGGTGCAGCAGCACCTGCAAGTCCACAGTGGGATGGAGAGCAGAAACCAGTGGTAACCGAAATATGGAGCAGAAGTGGTGTCCTGTAAATTATTGAGTTCAGGAGAAGAGCCCTGTGGAAACAGTGTTCCAAGTGCCACATCTGAAAAGGTCTTCTGCTATTACATTTTCTCCTGTCACTGAGGAGAGGATTGGAGAATCAGCAGAGCAACAGATTTTCCCCCTTTATAGTTTTTTACTGTAGAGCAAACAGTACTGGGTGAGGTAAAAGAGTTTTAGATTCTCTTTTCTCCATTTCTTCTGTTTCTAAACAGATAAACACAATTACTTTTTGTCACACAAAATAAATGTACAACTAGTCCAGGAAGCCAAATTTCTTTTGATCTGCAAAATCTTGAGAGCTTTGTCACACAATTGAACAACATGTACATTGTTAATAGTGGGATGTTAATAGTGGGATATGCCTCACTTAAGCTTATCATTGCTATGGCTGTTGGACTGAGTTGCAGCCTCTCTTCTAAAGCTGGACTTCCTGCTCTGTGATAAATCATGCTGAGAGTAGATGAGCTAATGCTGCTCCTCCGTTCTCTGGGAGCTTCTGTTCTATCAGAATTCTTTAACTATTGAGACCTTAGAAAATTAATCATGCTGTTATGTGTGTATGTCTACTCTTGACTTTTGTATAGCATCTTCTTTCTGTTAGCCCCTAATTAGAAGACCTGACTGAGTCAGAATTAAGGCTTCTCTGCCAAGCGTCCTATCTTTGACAGTGGCCAACAGCATGGCCCAGGGTAGAGGAATAAAATGGAGCAATGGGGCAATATAATTACTGTCAAGAATACTCTCTCAGTTTCCAGCAAACAGTAGTTGAAGGACTTGTAGTTCTTAGCTGTGCAACTTCCTATTTTTGTAATATTTAGATGCTCATTTTTTGCCTTCATATTCCTTCAGTTCCTGCCTCTCTTAATACCCAGAGAAGGAATAACCTACATAGGGAGAGTGGGTTAAGAGATCTGGCACTAACACTAGCTCTCAAGTTGTGCTTCCTTGGAAGATCAGCTTCCCTCATTCCCCTTGCAGTGTTGTTTTGCTCATGCATGTTAATTTCACAGCTTGGCTGTCTCTGATGTTCCGTCACAGGAGAATATGCAACTGTGAAGTGGCCTATTCTTTCTCCACAATTTCATCTGGTTCTGGGGATTGCCTCTGCCACTCTGAGCAACACTGAAGTCCACCATTTTTCAGCCCTCTTTAGCAAGGTGACAGTTTTTCCTGATGTCCTTGGGCAGTTTGTGAACAGATGCTGCTCATAAGATCCTGGTAATTTAGACCTGCAAGGGAAGAACAAAGTCCATGTGTAATAT